TCCAGCTTTACCTTGACGACATTTGTGCGGTCTAGTTGATTTGAGTTTGGCTGATTTGTTTCGTTTGATCCAGGTAGCGGCATTTGACCTGATGCTGGTTTCTGTTTGGCTTGAACTGTGTTGATTCCGTTAACAGTAGTCGTCAAAAGCTGTCTCTAAGCCTGAAGTCTTGCTTAACTACAGTTTAAATGCGGGCCTGTATGAATTCCATTATCAGACGGTAGAAAAGGCTGACAGGCAGCAATGTACCAGAAGAAGACAAAGTATTCGGAGATAAGTAGAACCTGTGTATGTTTATATATAGAAGTTTATAGTAATAATTTATCATAATGACAATTTGTATTTCGTATAAACTGGTGCTTACAAGAAATGCGTGCCATTTTTGCAGGTGCGATCAGTTGTTATAAATTACAATCCTAAAATATCATAAGGCAGCGCTTTTTCAACAGATTAATTTGTTCAATAATTATACAAGTAATCAGAACAGGTACTTATAAATGTTAAATTGGAAACCCTTCACTAAGGTCACCATCAAGGTTGATCGCCAGCCCAAACTTAGTTCCGTTTCCTGCTGATAGTTATGGTCAACCAGTGAGTAGCGTACATCTCTGTAAGTGCTGTGCCTCACGCGAATTGAAGCTTCAGGAAGAGAAAAGTGTCCTAAGGAACTTCAAAACGACATGGAATCAAACCATGGATAATACATCATTGGAAGCATACTTACAGGATATACACAAGAAGGAGGTGGAGACTCCTTGGAATGATAGCATACATTTGCGATGTTTAACGCCAAGCATATTGGTCTAAGCATGGAAGCTATGACATTTTCCATGAAAATATAGCTTTGTCCAAACATTGGTGTTATTGTGTTTTGTTTTTCCAGCAGAGCAACAAGACTTTAAGCGATCGACGAATACGAACAAAAGAGCAAGTCTTAACCTCATTAAAGGCCTAGGCAGTTAAGACAAAATAGAGTATAATAGCGCCTAAATAAATAGAGATTATCGTGCGTCAGGCAGGCGATATTTCAGTGAAAAGTCGCTTCACGAGAGTGAAAAGTTAGAGCCTGTAGGACATGCTGACCCGTAGGATGTCTCAAGAATTTCTGTAGGGCTCATGGGGTAGTAGCTCGACAAGAAGCTGAGCAGACTTGTGGATGGTAGGAGCAGAAGCATTTTTTATAATTTGGATTTGCACAACTATTATTGTCTTTTTTGTTAAGGATTTGGACTCATGCTTAATTCTCGGGCTGTCAAAAATGTATGTTGCTGTCCTACAGATTGAAGCAACCCACATTTGTGACCACCACTACATCTGCTGATCAGCATGCGCCACCTCCCTCCATTTTTGATATTGAGCTCTGAGATCTTTTCGCGATAACTGTAGTTGTAGCACTGCATTTCTTTGGGCCCATCCCAATCATACAGTATGCTGCACATAAATAGCTTTCATGGTAAATGCTTCCCGCTAGGTCACCAGATACATCGATACCTGAGGACATTCTTAGCAGTATCACCTTTACACATGCACACATGTATATAAGCAGTTGTTACATACGACTAGGAAATTAGGTTTGCCTTAAAAATTATAAAGTTTAAAAGTAGTTAGCGCTATGGCAACTAAGTTATGGCGAGTTTAGCAAAGTGAAACGAGTAGCGGGACAATTAGTGATATTGTTATGCAGAATGATCCTGAGGAAAACTGCTGGTTAGCAGAACTTGTTATACTAATTTTCATCACCGATTTTTATATGGTATGCGTCAGAGTTTGCAAAGCAACCCATCAACTTATGTTGTGGTTAAAAAATACAACGAAATGCTATGAAATTATGTATTTTACAAAAGTATATGGGAAAAGTTAGTGATTGACCGAATGTAGTCACTTCAACACGAGGAAAAGTCGCGGTGTATTATTAATTATACATATATAAAATACTAAAGGTCATGGTTTCTAGTATAATTATTTCTAGAATTAATTATACTTACACAACTTATTGAAGATTATAGAGAATAGAAAATCGGTGTATGCAACAACACCTACAGGTGTGAACTTATAAACTTCCGAGGGTTTTTGAATGCTGACTTTGGTTAATATTCATCTGGGCAAAAAATTAACGTCACAAGAACTCCGAGATGGATATACAGGGTATTTGCAGGAACATTTGAACAGAGTTATGTGGAATTCATGAAACATCAGCACAGATTTACTACTCACTGGGGACGACCTCTGACGAGGATGGTACACTTTCCTCAAATTCTTCCACTGGCGATTACTTCTAGGTTAACTTAGTCAATAAAACTTCTTTGTTACGATCGGAATCTGGGGAAATAGTACTGTGAAATCGGGAGGCCATTCACAGAAGAACCGGATATCACAGCTGGCTGCTCAAACTATTGTCAGCTACAGGAAGGGGTACTACTTCGTTAATGTTCACCCTACCATTTGCCCTTCTCAAACAGCTCCAAAAGAATGACTTAGTTATTTAAATTGAAAAAAATATTTAGTGAGAAATGAAAGTCACAGAATAGAAATTCATGCTACAAAGTTCCGAGAAACGATTGAAAAGCCACAACAGATAAATTGCTCTATTAAAATCTCACGGTACTGTGTTAAGAGGAGTATGGCCGTCAGCTTATGTGGGTTACGATAAAGTCAGCAGGTAGTGTGGAATACGCTCGGGTCTAGCAGGACAGATGGCAGTCATGAGAGTTATTTCTGATTGAAGTCAACCGAAAGTTAGCTTGGATCTATGCAAGTAGCCTAATTAACTGGCTTCCCAGATGGTAACTCCAACTCATTTAGTCTCCTTACTAGTTTGGAAGATTAAATGATGTCGACAGTTACGCGAGATTCTTGGTATACATACGCAAGTGTTTGTCCAGCCATTACAAAGGACTTTCAAAACAACAAACCGACTGCCCGAAAAACGATATGTGCTTCGGGACCAGAAGCGTAAAGCCAGGATGATTGCTTAGCTGGTTAAAGCTCATGCACGAACGACCAAACGTTAGAGAACAGCGGACCAAATAACGTGGATGCTTGGCCGCGTACCTTCATTTTAACCGGTAAATTTAAACAGTGAAGGTGATCCACAATTGTCTAATGAAGAGTGCTGTACGATATTGACTTTAGGAGACTCTATCGGCAAGCTCTCTAGACTTTCTCTGAACTTGTATATTAGGGCTTTCACGAATGTTTGTTGGCCCAACCACAGGATCACTAGGTGAAGTGGAATTCGCAACTTCTAGGATTGTCGTTCCCCTGGTATGATTCATACGTTTCCTTCGAAATAAGATATTATACCTCCACATATTTTGTTCTGAATAGCCGTATCAGTGGGTGAGGGAAAGATTTATCCGTGATGCCCCAGGGACCTAGAACCGCTTCGAAGCGGCAAGAAGCAAGCAAAAAATTGCCCCGAGGTCTACTCGTAAAAGTGATATTGGATATTGAATAGTTTGAAGTTATGTTGAGCGACTGGCAGCTTATTACGTAGGCCACTGACATCTTTTTCGCTGGCTATTTAGTCTATCTAGGCAGTAAATATTAATTTCAAAATATTTAATGTATCCAGCATGCTTTCTTATCCATGGTACCTGATAACCTCCATCCGAGACTCCTAAAGAAGCTGTCATCTGATGTAGCTGGCCCATCAACGAAGATCTTCGAGCTGTCTCTACTGAATGGAGTATTATCAGATGACTGGAAGGATACCATAGTAACCCTCATCCACTAAGAAGAATCAAGACACCCTAATCAGCATCCTGGAAAAAATCGTCAAGAAAGCCACCATGGCATACTCGGAAACAACAAATTGCTGTCCAGAGCACATCATGGCTTCCTAGGAAAACTCGTATTTATTTTGTAAATCAATGAGTTATTGTATACACTCATTACCCTGTGGTCCTATACTCAAATGACTTAAAAATTTTGGGGGAGCTGAAGGGCGACAGTGACACGCTCATGTTACAAGGAAACCGTGAGCGTTGGCTCACACCAAACGGATAGAATAACACTCCTGCAGTGGTAGATAATACCCTGAAACTATTGGCCTGCATTATTTTTCACTCAACATTAGGTGTTCAAGTCGACGAAGGTCAAGCATTCACACCATTCGACGCGCCGTTGTTCATTCATGCAGGATCCCTGGCTAGTTATGCATTCGCCTTTGCACTAAGACTTAAAACCTGAAATAGATTTCGTATTTTGTGCGATCGATTCGGCGTTTTGATTCGCCTTTGGTCTACGCAGAACAAGTACTATGGGGTAGTGGTTAGAGTTACTTGCGTTAGTATACGTCACAATTTATGTAAAGGTCAACACACCCCACCCCCTACACTCCCATCTCTCAAGACTCATTTGGATCTAGGTGTCATAGTAACTCATGGCTAAAAAGCTACAGCATACTGTCACTCGAAGGCAGCACAGAGTTTTAGATCTTCGTAGGCAGTTAACAGAGCTTGTACTAGAACCATCAGTGATATGTCCACTTCATTATATACACCTTTCGTGAGGTAGAGACTGCAAAACTGTTTCCAGACATCCAATCCTTATCTTAAAGGTGAATCACATTATAGGACGGAGTCAAAGGAGGGCAACACGTATGATTCTTGTCATGATCAATTTATCATATGAGGAAAGACTAAAGAGTCTGAATCTCTTCTCCGTGCCATACCGTAGGCAAAGACAAGAGCTCATTACACTTTTTAGGACTTTAAATAATGAATATGGACGTGATATATTCTCTTTCTGCCTCCTAGCAGGTCGGGACACCTCATAGGATATAGCAGGAGAGTTAAGGAGAAATTATGCCGCTGTGTAGTGCTGGTTCTCACACCGAGTCGTCAACTCCTAAAACCGACTCAAAGATGAAATGGTGTCAGTGCTTTCAATTGGCTCATTCAAGAAGCATTTGGACAGGAACATAAATTGATCAGAAAACGATTAACATGGACTTAACGCTCTCCATCCTCAATCAACAAATCTAATTTGGAATGTACATTTAAGCGGAAATTATGACATGAAGGTCATTGCACGTTATACCGTAAATACTGAAGTCAGTGTAAAAACATCACTAAGTCCCACCATACTGCTTGTTAATTTGTTGTCGCATTATTGAAAAAACCGCGTTTTCTTTCCACTTATATCGTTCAGTTATTATATAAAGAAAAGTATGTTATACCTGTGTGAGTGAGAGGTGAAATAGGTTAAGTTTCCATTTATTAAAAGCCATACAGAACATTAACTTAAAGATAGATTTATTGTGAGAAATAGTATTTAGAAGAAGGATCAATGAAATGACAAGTAAAAACCCACATCACTTCAATAGAAAGTGAAAGAATGCAAGTCATGACTTGCATAGTAGTTATTACTGCAGTAATAACTATTACTAACAATCTGATTAACCTTCTTTTACTTAAGTATTAATACCTGCTGAAAGATGCACAGTTGTCTCCGATTATCTCAAGGGAGGGCCTGTAACAAGTGCAGACTAAATCGCGACGGAAATATATATTGAAAGTCTTGGTTTTCGCTTTATTATATCTCAGCCGTAAATCTAGAATATACACTCTCCGTCCCCCTACTATTGCTACCACACAGAACCGTAGAGCTAGTTTAGTTATTGTGAAATCCTTATGACTGCACTGTATGATGCAGACGGGGATAATTAAATTAAGTATATTCATAATCTAGATGACCTGAAATAAACAGTTCTGCACATATCTGAATGGTCTCTGGTTACATCACACACAGTCTGTGATCATCAGTTATTCTGACCTTCTTATTTGACCTAGACAGTCTTTACTTTTCTGTACGACTCAGATAAGCAATCAGTAACTTCGTGGGGTGGTCCATCATTCTGGTCTGACCGGTCATCTTGACTCTTTTCCATCTTGATCTGACTTCATCTAAAATTGCTGTTTTGCAGTGGTCACACTTGTAAAACATGTTTTAGTTATCTCAATCGATTAACATCGATTAACTAACTGTCATTAATTAATTTCATTGTTTACCATATTTTTTTTTTTGATTTACAGCTTGATTCCACACTGTATTTTTGGTACAAGTATGGAATTTTCAGCATGGATATCGGTAGCCCAAATTTTGCAGGCCGACCATAGATATCAGGTGTGCGCCGGCGTGGGCTCGAACCCCGGACCATGTGCATGGTCGGCGAGAGTCCTAACCACTGTGCCACCGACGCACATATTACATAGAGAACGACGTAATGATCTATGGTTATAAGCTGTTGACATTCTTGTATCTTCAACGGCCATATAGTTGAGTGGATTAAACTGCTTCATAGTTCCAAAGTCAACTGAATGATCTAATATCACATTTGATCACAAACTGCCAAATATCAATCAAAATTTTCATATAACTGCTAAGATTTTGTCAGCATCCATTTCCTTAGATTTGATCCAACTTCCCAAATAAGTGAAATGGTCGATTCATTCAACTATTTCATTTTATTATTATTTAAACTCAGAAAAAGCTTGGTACAATATGGCACCAAGAAAGATGCGCCACACAAGTTGTGTGAGGGCTGAGATACTGCCCGGGTGCCCAGACCGAAGCAGGTGGTTTTCTTATGGGACCACCCTCCAAGCCTTTAACTTGGAGTCTAATCCGCAAGGCAGCGGAGCAGCGTCAGGAGCTGCATTCCCATGGTTGACGGTGACCCATATGGGTTCATACGCCGTTTGATCCGATTGGATTCTGGAGCCCATATGCCCCATGGTAACTGCTTATAGTCTAACCGCTATCCAAACAACATTCCTGACATGGTAGCACCTGCAGGGACATGAGTCCAAGTCAATTTGTCTTGTTGGGTCACTGCGGTCGGTATTCAAGCCCGACCACCACGGCAAGGTAGCAGTTGTCGACCGGGACTATTTCACTACCTATACTTAAGAAAGGGGCTGCAGCAGATTAGTACTATAGCATCACTCTGCATTTTCTCTGGTAACAAGTCAATCCTTAAAGCATCGAAGCAGACCAGAGCCACAGCTATCAGTACATACATAAGGAAACTAAATAAGAATAATGACCGGAGGCATATCTGACCGACACCACAAGTTGTCTTAACTTCACTTGTTAACTCTATAAGTCCTTACATGACTACATGAGTTCTAGTACAGTGTGTTGGTTACCATAGATTACTTCTTGGCATTCCTTTCATACACACACACGCATGCCACAATAACTGTCAATCGACAAAGCCAAGTACTACCTCACATGTCAAGAAATAGGGGAATTTTAGGTTCCACGTAAATATACTTGCTCTTCAGGATCTGTTGACAGGTAAAGATTTGATCACTGAAACATAACTGATTTCCTCGGGCTTGTTTCTGCTAATTGCCAATTAGTCCTGGTGGCTCTGGGATCTATTTTATTAGAAACTGTGTTGGTGAACTTTGTTTATGACTCTGTCAGAAGTAAAGAGTAGCAAATACTCCCTTGGATTTACATGATCGTAATGCCTATTCACTCATCACTTCAATTTTTTTCGACTATATATCAGTATTTTGTCACTATTTTTTACGGTGCCCATGTAGTAACAAGAAATAGCATCACGTGATATTTGGTAGCAAAAGGGATTTATGTTAAACTACCGGACGATTCATCATAATTCATATTCTTTAACAGTGCAAATTACTAGTACTTTTTAATTATCGTTTTAGGTCTTCCCTCATTTTACCTACTGCAATGACCACTCCAATTACATCATGTATTAACGAACCAGAATTTGCTGATGTTTATCCCCCATCTGAAGATTCTTATTTATTCTTGGATGCTTTGGAATCAGATGCAGAATTTTTGTCCAAATTGAGCCCCAGTATAACGCTTGAGATTGGAAGTGGTAGTGGAGTTATAAGTGCATTTCTGTGCTCACATATTTTGAAACCATTATTTCATATATGTACGGATATATCATTTGCTGTATGCATGCAAAACTATTTAATTCTTGATTTATTACCATAGGCATGTCGTGCTTCTCAGCGTGTACTTGACCATAATGTTCCTAGTTCATCTGTTGCATATAATGCAATTAACTGCTCATTAGCAACTCCTCTTTTGCCTAGACTTCACCAAAAAGTGGATTTAATCCTGTTCAATCCTCCTTATGTACCAACTTCTTCAGAAGAATACGAAGCTGCTAATTCTTCTATAGTCGCTGCATGGTCTGGTGGCCTACTGGGAAGACAAGTAAGATGCTATTTTAATACATTAGTGATCTTCATATTGTTACAAAATTATAACATTTAAGTGGTTGGAGGCAGTCGGCAAGAAGCCTTGAACCTAAGTTTCTCTCTTGTCACTCGTAGCTCATTGGCTTAGGCACTCAACTGTCAGTCAATGGATCCCAGGTTCGAGTTCCATCCCACCTATTTCAGGCTTGTTAACTGGGTATTATTGTTATTAGCCACCATATAATAATTGTGGTTTTATAGCCGAGTACTGGGTGATTGAGATCTAACTAAATAATTATTATCGTGGCTTATCTGCAATCCTGAAGGAACTCATGTCTCCTCTGATATTCGAACCCACTTTATCCAGTGCTGCAGTCAGAGATGTTACGACTTCATTCTTGGGGCTCGTGATTGTGACATCCTCTAGGACTGTGGTGGGTGCTTCGAATGGTCAGCAGGTAGTAACCAATGTCTTGTCTCTAGTCCTTGATTCGGTGCAGATTAGATTCTGTCAGTTCAGTCTAGAATGTAGTCACCAAGCTAGGTGACTCGCCGTCACAATATTCTCTGAATTGACGTTAGATGTTTGAAGGCGATCTGTAGGAAGCCTTTGACCTAGGTTTTGTGCTTGCTGGAACCCGTCAGCAAGAGTAGCTACATTCTTAAATTATAACATTTCTATCTATCCGAATGTTTTTAAGAAAACCATTTGAACTTGTTGGTCTGAACTTCTACTTATTTAAAGTAAATACCTACATATTTCAGTCCCAAAAGATATTTGTACTAATCCACTTAGATGTAATCTTATAACCTTTTCCACTAGTTACCAAATGTTCTGCGTACAGATGCATGTTGGCAGATTTCATTGGGCATATTTATTTATATTCTCAAATAATCCTATGTTAATTTTACTATTAAAACACACAGTTGGGCACCAAGAAATGCACCACACAAAATCTCATAGTTTGTGTGGGGTCTGAGATGCCACCCGGCCGCCGAGATCGAAGTGGATCGTTGTGTTAAGGAGCCACTTCCCGGGCCTCTGACTTGAAGTTTGATCCACAAGGCAGTGAAAAGTATCAAAGCTGCTTTCTCGTGGATCCTGGTTATCAAAATAGGTTTATTAAGCCATTCAGCGCTTTCGGATTTTGCAGCCTGTGAACACCATAAGTTAGTTCGGAATCGGAGTTTTCCAGCTTCCTTAAGTAGACCGCCGGGTCCCCAATCTGGTTGCAAGCACCAGACGTTCACATTCACCCTTTGACCTTTGTGAGGAACACCCCGACCATGTGAAGGCAGTGAGTAGGACAGACTAAGCAGAACTCGGGAGGAACAGACAAGGGAAAATCAAGCAGGCTTTAGACCAGGTAGAGGGTGCATAGATCATATCTTCACTCTTCGACAGATTCTAGAACATAGACACACTTTTCGGCGTCCAACAATTGTCATATTTCTTGACTTGAAGGCGGCCTTCGACTCCGTGGATCGAAAGGTACTATGGCAATGTCTGACTGTGAAGGGAGTGCCAAGAAAGTACATTGCACTAATCAAGGCACTCTATTCAAACTCACGTAGTCGTGTAAGGGCTTATGGGGAATTGTCATCTGAATTGGTAACAACCAGTGGTGTCCGACAGGGATGTCCACTTTCCCCATTTCTGTTTAACTTCATCATAGATATGCTAATGGAAGTATCCTTAACTGAACGTAGTGACTTAGGAATCGACTTGTTACCAGGGAATAGTCTTATGGACTTAGAATATGCAGATGACATAGTCCTGTTAGGGGAGGATGCTGACAAAATGCAGAGTCTTCTGAACACCTTGAGCAGCAATCTTCGTATGTTTGGCATGCGATTCGCCCCTGTAAAATGTAAGATGCTGCTACAGGACTGGACTACGTCAACTCCTAACTTAGTGATAGGGAGTGAAGTGATAGAACATGTTGACCACTTCACCTATTTGGGAAGTTGTATTAGCACCAACGGACTGATTGGCGATGAAATCTCAGCACGGATCCGAAAAGCTCGAGCTGCTTTCGCTGACTTACACCATCTCTGGCGTAGGCGTGACATCCGGTTATCAACCAAGGGACGTGTGTACTGCTCAGCAGTTCGCTCCGTCCGCTTCTCTATGGCTCTGAAACATGGCCAATACGAGTTGAAGACATGAAAAGGTTGACTGCTTTCGATCATAGATGTCTGCGATCTCTGTCTCACGTTAGGTGGTTTAATAAGGTAAGTAATGTTGACGTTAGGCGTAGAGTGTTGGGCAAAGAGGGAAAATCAATCGACGAGGCTATAAAGTTACATAGACTGAGATGGCTAGGTCACGTGGTGCGCATGCCTAACCATCGCCTCCCCCGACGGGCATTACTAGCTGATATAGGTGCAGGTTGGAAAAGAGCCAGTGGTGGCCAAACAAAAACATGGCCTCATCAATCCATGAAATCCTTGACAGTTAAACTGAGTCAGGTAGGGTAGAAGATGCAGACTCTCGGGTTGGGGCCCTCGGGACTGACTCTAGGAATCAATGGCTGGAGACAATAGGTGACATGGCTCAAAATCGTTGTCAATGGCCAGTGCAGATGTATTCAGTCTCTGTAATCTTTCATATTCCTTTCTACCATTACCCATTCTGTTTCACTCTTATACTTGTCAAACTCTATTGATTCTCTCCACTCATCTTCTTGTCTACCTTTGTGTGTGTATTTGGAACGTGGCAACTCGAACTGGTGCACTTCGGTGCCAAGTTCTATGTTGAATCCAGACAGACAGACAGTAGGACTTACCTGGCAGAGGCTGTGAAGGTGTGGCAGCATAAGGATATTTTGAAAGAAAGACCGAAGTCTACCCACCCTCTGGTTTACCGACTCGTTTATGGGGTCAAAAATATCCTACATAGTTGTGTTATAATGCAATACGTAACCACTGGCGATGAAGGTTATCAGACGCTCGGAGAACTAGATGAATATTCTAATGATAATCCCTAAAGATACGTGTCAACATCAATTTCCACTCAAACTCTTTGTTTTCTGTCTCGACTAAGTGCTAACTGTCTTGTATGTGTCCAAACCAAGTTCACTTTTAACGGTTTGAAAAAATTTGGGCATTGGGCACATGATATTCATTATAATAAACGTTTTTTATATTTCCCAGTGAATGAATGAAAACAAAACGATGTTGTTGTTTTTACTGACGTTTCGCTATTTAATTCTACTAATAGCTTTATCAAAGTAGTAGTATTATTAAACCAGAATTTACAAAATCCATTCAGCTTATATGTAACAACTGTCCATATAAAAGACCGAATCTCTAAAGATTCTCTGTCTAATTGTGTCTGAAATGAAATGCTTGGAATGTGATGCTATATACATAGGATAAACATCTCGAGAAATCAAAATTAGAAGAAATGAACACCGTAGAGCCGCATCTGTTCGACCACCAAGAAATCCAGCTGAACTCGAAAAAACTAGCTTGAAAAATCATCAGCCATAGGTCTACACGCTATAGAATCAGGCCACAAAATTGATTTTGACAATATTGAAATCATCATCCAGAAAAAGCATTTCAGAAATCACAAAGAACGTCTAACATCATTAGAAGCACTCCATATCAAGTGGAATCCAAATTGCCTGAATAGGAATGATGGACTAAAACAGAATTTGACCTGGTTACAACACGCTCCTCCCCATGAAGTGACAAAACCAACACGGATGTGATAAGCAATTTCATTGTGTAAGTACACGCTGCTTTTATAATCCGAAACACTTATCAAATCCAACAATCTGCACCTGGCTTTTTTATCTTTACCAGTTGGCCAACTTAACAAAGCAAAAATGACCCCATACTGAGGAACAATGATTAAGTTGTTATATATAAGCTGAGATTTTGTAAATTCTGGTTTAATAATACTACTTTTATAAAGCTATTGGCATTAAATAGCAAAACGTCAGTAAAAAGCCGATTTTTTTTTACTGTAATTCATTAAATTAATCCAAAGTTTATTTTCAATTAAATTTCAGGTGATTGACCCCTTTTTAAGTCAAGCTGTTGATCTACTCTCTGAACAAGGTTGTATTTATTTATTACTATCGGCAGACAATCGTATCGATGAAGTACATGAACTAGTCAACAAGTTGTCAAATGGTAGACTTCAATCAAAACGAATACTACACAGACGATCGCATAATGAATTTTTAACTGTTTTTCGGTACAGTGTTTAAACTTTGTAAATATATAATTTATACACACTTACTTATGATTTCTTATATGTTAGTATTTTCCTATTAATATTCAGTGGTGTGCGTCTATCAACTTTTCATGTTAACCTTATGACGGTTATTCGTATTAAGCATCAGCCAACGTGTTTCATCCATCAGTACAGTGTATCAACAACAACAAAAAAGGCAATAGAACGCAGCTTTTGCTGTCCCTTTATCAATCTTCGATGATATTATCAATTGTAGAAAGCGAAAATGTGCTCAGTCCCATTTTAATGTATACTTAGGCATGTAGCGTGACTGTGAGACCTGGCCATTGAGTGTGAAAGACATGCATTTGATCATGAATGCGTGCGTTCTATCTCCTGTGTGAATTGGTATAATAGTGTGAGTAATATTGAGGTTAGGCGTCGATCGAGTGCCAGGTAAAGAGGAAAATCAATAGACGAGACTTTGAAGTTACATCGATTGAGATGGTTAGGACATGTGTTACGCATGCCTAGCCTTCGCCTTCCTCGACGGGCAATATCAGTTAAAATAGGATCAGGTTGGAAAAGAGCCACTGGTGGTCAAACCAAAACATGGCTTCATCAGTCGATGAAATCCATAGCAGTTAGTTTAAGCCGCTTAGGAAGGTGTAGACTTCCTGGTTGGGGTCCTCCGTACGGTAAACACCAATGGTTGGAGACAATTCGTGATATGGCTCAAAATCGTTCTCAATGCCTGGCGCAGATGCATCCACTCCTTGTAACTTATAATATCTAATGAAAAATGTATTGTTCTTCGATATTACTATTCTTTTTGCCTCACATCTCTATTTTGAATCTCTTTACTTCTCTTATTTTGTGGGGTACATGGAGTGTGGTGACTCTAACTGCTGCACATCGGTGCAAAGTTCTATGTTGAAACCAGTCAGTCAGCGTGTATCCATGGTATAAACAGTTGCGTCGTATTACAAACATGTGACACGCAAACACACTGAACCTGAACTTTCATGACGGAAGAGCTAAATTGGCAGTTGTAGCTAAGATAATCAGTAATTGTTGTACGAAAAACTAGTTTTTCATAGCTATACATTCTAAGATAATATAAGAGTAGAAGGTGTCGACGAGATTTCTGGACAAAATTAATAAAGAAATTTGTAACGGAATAGTTAAGTCACATCACAAAGGAAATTGTCTATTGTCCTCATATGACGGTATGTGGTAAGAATAATCTAATTTTGAATTAGTTGTGTTCTCTTGGCTGGTTTAATTAATTGTGAAGCTTTCGTTGTCCTTCTAGATAACATCTGCGGAGCAGATTTTGGTACTCTAGTCTAGGCTGCGAGGAAAATTTGAGTGTACATATAGATCACAGGTGCCTGCGTTCTATCTCCCGTGTGAAGTGGTATACTAGGGTGAGCAATATTGAAGTGAGGCTTCATTTGAGTGCTAGGTAAGGAGGGGAAGTCAGTAGACCTGTCTTGGGTATAGAAACAGCAACCCCGTCTAATTTACTGGCGGGTTGTAAGACTAGAAAAAGAGGGAAGGTCGGGCGTGGGACTACTAACCCTATCCCGGACAATCAACCTACTTTCTACAGAAATTTCAAAGCCCCCAAAAATATTTTTAAGAAATAAACTTACTCTTCGCTAGGGTTGGGAAGTGAAGTGACGTGGGCTGGTAAGGCCTTAGGGAAGCCAGACGACCAATGTGTCTCCTTTCGATGAAAGAAGAATTAAGTAAGTAAGTAGATGAGGCCATGTGAAGGGAAAGTGGCTGCCTGTTCGTCAGCTAAAGAAGACAGCAGGAAATAGAGTAAAATGAAGATGCACTACTAAGGCCTATATTCCACCTGGAATCCAGGAGACAAATAATCATATACACATGACAGTGTAATGCAGCAGTCATTTACCAAGGTAAGACAGTTGAAAGTAAATCAAAGCAGTAGCAATGCAGACTGTCGATCACTTGCTCAAATCCAGTTATAACTCGATTTGACCTCCTATTTTGTCTGCGTGTTACTAGCAAAGATTTTCACTGTGAGGTTTTGATGAAAGCCGTATTTAAACATGTGACAGTCAGTTTTTTGAAGTGTAAATCAAGTTTCAATAAGGTACGGTTTGCCTGAAAGTACCACACCAGGAATTAGAGCTAGCATAACCAGTAATCTAATCACCGTCAGTACTGTATTAAGAGTGGTATTTCTGATCATGTTCTGATTGCAGTAACTAATTAATGTCCCAAAAATGATTCCTTTCAACAACTACTGATGGATGTCTATGGTTGTTGTTAGTGGTTCCTACAACCAGACTCCAACAGAAACCAATTTGTTGAGTATTTAGAATAGTTAGTTAGTAAACATCTGACTGACTGACTGGTTTCAACGTAGAACTTTGCATCGATATGCAGCAGTTTGAGTCGCCACACTCCATGTAGCAAAAATAACAAGTGAAGTAAAAAGAGATTCAAAACAAAGATATGAGGCAAAAAGAATAGTAATACCGAAGTGCGTCGGTGGCACAGTGGTTAGGACTCTCGCCGACCATGCACATGGTCCCGGGTTCGAGCCCTCGCCGACGCACACCTGATATCTATGGTCGGCCTGCAAAATTTGGGCTACCGATATCCACGCTGAAAATTCCATACTTGTACCAAAAATACAGTGTGGAATCAAGCTGTAATCAAAAAATAAAAATAATATATTTTTCATTGGATATTATAAGTTACAAGGAGTGGATTCATCTGCGCTAGACATTGAGAACAATCACTTTGAGCCATATCACCAATTCCCTCCAACCATTGGTGTTTACTCTGCCGAGGAATCCAACCAGTCGAGAAGTCCTACACCTTCCTAAGTGGCTTAAACTAACTCTTGTGGATTTCATTGACTGATGAAGCCTGTTTTGGTTTGACCACTACTGGCTCTTTTCCAACCTGATCAGTCTTATGTCAGCTAACCCTGCACGTTGAGGGAGGGGACTGATAGTGATGCATGCATAACACAAGTCCTAACCATCTTAATCGATGTAACTTCACAGCCTCGTCTACTGATTTACCCTCCTTACCTAGCACTCGACCGACGCCTAACTTCAATATTGCTCACCCTATTATACCACTTCACACGGGAGATAGGATGCAGGCACTTACGGTCAAAGATAACTAGCCGGGCTTTTCATGTCTTCCACTTTCAATGACCAGGTCTCACAGCCATAAACATCTGCAGACATTAATACGCATAAAGTAGTCCAGAAAAATGTTTTCAATAATGTTTGTGAATATTACTGAAGAAATTTCCACCATACATACTGCTCAAGTCTGTCTCTTTTAGTATCCCGATTCGGGGTATTCCCACTGACCGATGTATAAAAGTAAATAGGTTTCAGGTTTACAATAAAATTCATTTGAAATAAAGATGTATGTCTTTTTGAGAAAGTCCAGGTTTTGAAATTCTTGGCTGTTATCTCCCAGTGTAAGACATCAAATGTTACTCATTGAAAATCGAGACCATTTGACCTAGCGACCGTAGTCCAAAAATAGGTCACTCACATTATAACTTCATCATCAGACTCTACAGTTATATATAATACAACATTATAGTGAATGGATGAATTAGTGTTAGTAACAACATTAATGTTTAAATAACATCGAATCAATAATATTGATAGATTGCATATGTGAACAAGTGGATAACCAGTCGATAAAAATTGGCATCCGTACAGAAATCCTAAAAGAATTGTTATTAGGATGTACCATGAATGTAAATTTCAAATTTGACGGCACATTTTACAGACAAGTAGACGGGGTGGCGATGGGCTACCCATTAAGTCCTATTCTGGCTGATTTCTCGCTAAATAAACTGGAAAATGGATCTTTGAACAGGCATATCAGAAAGTTCTCATTTTATTGCTGGTATATGGATGATACCTTCATTCTTTGTGATAATTATTCGGATAGCAGTACAATAATTACTGAATTCAATGAAGTACATTCGGCTATGAAATTCACGTGCGAAGAGGAATCCCAAGGCAGAATTGCCTTCCTGGATGTCCTTGTTACAAGAAAACCAGATGGTAGAATAAAAAGAAGTTTGAATAGAAAAAGTACATGGACAGGACAATATACACACATTTTCACAACTTCGTTCCTCTTAAGTACAAAAGAAATTTAGTAAAGACCCTCAGCCACAGAGTTAGAGCTATATGCTCGGAAGAAGTAGTTGAAGGTGAATTTAGCATTGTATCTGATACTTTGGTAGACAAATTTATCAAGAAACACATGACAAAGAAAGCGGAAAACGACTACTCACCATCTGTAGACAAGAAGCCTTTATTTATACGACTGCAATTCAAGGTCGATATATCAAGTGAAATAATAACGAAGAAATTAAGAAAATCACTCCAAAATAACTTTTAATGCTGGCAAACTACACATCTTATTCTCTACACGACCGATGGTGATTCCTCAACTGAAAGATGAAGTACCTAGACTAGTCACTTCAAGTTGTATCTAACAATTCAACTGCGCTTGTGGAGCGAGTTATATCGGCCGTCGCTCTAGGAACTTGATTTTTCGTGCTCGGTCGTGAACATCTCCCAGTATGTCTAAATAAAGGTGTAGTGAAAACCATCAGCAGCTCGATATTAGACCATCTGGTCCAAACTGGCCCAGGAAGGCTTCGTGTGCTTTTGTAAGTGGAACTAGCCACAAAGCCAGAAGTGAAGAATCCTTTTCTATCATCTACTGGGTGTCAAATAGAATTGCCAAAAACATCAAGGTACCGCATACTCCAAACAGCATAGGCTATCGCAATTCGCGTGAAATAACCAGTGCTTTGCGTGCAAAAGAAGTGAATCCAGCTACTACTACTTCTCTGGGCTTCAGTAGAGACTATAAATTCATGAATTTGTACATTCGGTTCCCTTGATAAATTTCGATAAGGAAAGGAAGACGAAATTTGCAGTATAAAATGATATCGTCATTCTATTTCACAGGTTCTCTTCAGCTGCAGACTACCTGAAATTACAACGGTTTTATAGGTGATAAACATTAA